CAGACCGGGATTGGGGGGGGGCAGCCGGAGGCTCAGCCAGAACAGACCATGGCCAGCTGGCTATTTTGGCTAATGGGGGCCATGAGGCTGAGCAGCACTACCTGAGGTGGAGGCCTCAGTTGGTGGGCAGCCTTGCAAATCAGGCAAGTGTAGGTGTCTGGCTGTGACAGCTTCTTTTTTTGCCCTGCAGCCTCCTCCATCCCTTCCAGAAGCCCCCCCTTTCCCTGGCAGAGTGCCCACTTGTGGCAAATAAGGCCAGAAATTGAGAGAAAGCGAGCAAAAGGCAAGAAAGGCTTCCCTAGGCCTCTACTCCAGATAAGGCCCTTCCAGGGACCCACTTTCCCAGCAGCACATTGCATGGCAAACGCATTGAATGAGCCTCTGTGATCCCTCCTGGGGCATGATGGGAGTTGAGGTTTTTCTTTCTGTTTTTCACATTTCTTTCTCAGCCAATCAGAAGCCTAGTTAACTGTATCCATGTTACTCCCCTCTTGAGGTATGCGCTGGGTGGGACTTCAACTCCCTCTTTTTTGTTGTTTTTTTAAAAAATACATTATGTTTTTTATTTTAAAAAAAACGGTGGATTAGTAAAATATTCTGAAACTTGGTAGGCTTGTAGTCATGAATGTGGCCTACAAATGAGGCAAGTTTCATTGTGATAGGCCTAAAGACGACAGAGAAACGAGCCTCTAAAGTTTTCCCATTGGTGCCCGTGGACTGAATCTTACCAGAATGAAAACAGCACCCCCCTCCCAATTTCAGGAATCTCCCGGAAAACTGAAAGGGGGAGGGGCATCCAAAACAGTACATTTTTTGCATGCTGTGCACATCCCTAATTTTCAAACATGGAGAAGATCTGATGAAACACATTATAGAATCACCTGGATTGCCTAATCCATATTGATGGTGACAGTGACAAAATAATTCGTCTCTGAGTGGTCATGAACTTAAATGCTCTGTCCTGCAAAAGCAGAATTCAGACCACATGGCAGCTCTCTGAAAAATCGCATAATAAAAAATAATTCAGATTTGCTATTGATTTGGATGCTATAATTGGCACAGGTCCAGTGGATTTAACTTTGACCCCTATTGCTCCATGTTACTGGATACATTTCAATTTATGTAGTCTAAGGATGTAGATAGTATTTTTAGAAAGATAAGAGTCACCATATGTATCTCAGAAAATGATTGGCTGAGTGGGTAAATGGAATGATGAATACTTCTTTACAAAAAAATGGAGGTTTGGCCTGAGTGAAAGAGGTTGTGGTAAAGCCTGTGTTGAAAAAGCTTTTCCTGAACCACACCATACTGGACAATATCCAATATTTGACTAATGTTCTTCTTCCCAAGAGTTCTGTGGAGCAGCTGCTATTTTGGCCAATACTCATGTCCTCCATTTTCCCTGTATTTGAGCCAGATATCCTGGATAAGTGCTTTTCCCTCCACCAGTGTCATATTGGATCATGGCCATGGCTGGTCAACAAATACAGCAGCAAGCTGTAGATTGCCACAGAAGCAAAAGTGTGCATGATGGGAGCTGGAAGAGGAGGAGGGAATCTGAGGCTTGATAATGTAATATCCAACTATGCTTTGGCTTTATATATGAGTCAAGTCGGTGTCTTTGTTTTTGCCATATCTGATATGGTACATTACAAGCTGAGTATTTGCTGTTGTTCTTTCACGATTCTCAGTTAATCTTTGCTTTCCTGTGCATGCATTTTGTCTTTCCTTGTATATGGATTCTTCAAATACCATATACATGCAGTAATAGGTAGAATTAAGCCTTGTTGTATATTCAGCCAGTAATTAAACAGAAGGTTCATGGCACTGACAAAACATAGAATAGGGAATATCTGGTTGTCTTAGGCTGGATCTACACTGCCATATAATGCAATGTAGACCCATTTAATGCATTCAAGCTGCAATATATGGATGTACACTGCATTATATGGAGGACACTAGTCTATCATGTTCTTGGCCAGTCCTGTTGCTTCCCAGAAGGACCAATCCTGTTGGACAATTTAGCTTATTAGGATTAGGCAGAAGCTTCCAAAATCTTAGCTTGGCCTGATAACCAAACAGATGGAATAGGAGGATTTTAAATGACTAGGAGCTTTCACAAGTTGTATGAAAATGTGGAGTATTCTCTGGTTGTGCTTCATCAGTAAATGTGTTATATTGGATTGTTCTCCCAGGAAACCCATTTAGTCTAATGGCATGTTGAAAGGCAATGGGTAGCTGAATAATAGACACATGATGGCAATGCTTTAATTTTGGCTATTGTCAGTAGTTTAAGTGATGTGTAACCAGTTGTTTATGAGTGAAAAAAATTAAAATATTTTAATAGAGTGATGGTCAATTTTGTTTTTAGATGTGGGAGACATCCTCATTTGTTATTTTCTAATTTCCATGTGTTACATGATTTCTTACATTCTTTGGAATATTCTGGTTTCACATAATCCTATTTTAGTCAGAAAAATGAAAATGTTTCATATTTCCTAAATTTAGGGAAATTGTCATTAATATGAAAATATAACTGCTTTCTGTTCTGCATGGCTTTTTAAAAAAAATGTTTTATGAAATGTGTGAAGATTGCTGTTCACCTCAATTTCAAAGTTTTGCAAACCAAAGCTTTTTTTTTTTTACAAATTAAAATAAAACAACACAGCTAAAAGGGGCGGCTTGGGGGGTGGAGGGATTTACACGCAACAATATAATGTGTGTCAGAAGTAAAAAAAACCAAAAAAACAGAACAGTAAAATGATCATTTATTCCTAAAGACCAACAGAAACATTTTTAATTCACTCAAATGTAGACCAGGGATTTTTTCACTTGCGACCCCCTTTTCGCCCAAGCAGTTTTTATATATCTCTGTGTATATAGGGTTATAAAATAATTATAAAATAAAGCACTTACTTCTGTTAAATCAACATTTGTAATTCTTGCTGAATAGGCTGGTTTCCCTTTTTATGAAGTACAGCAGAGGCATTTTCTGCAAAGTTCATTGTAATTACATTACATTGTTGCTAACAGATCTGTGTAAATGTCTAAAACAGCCACTAAAACAGCCAAATTTTGCTTTTGCCCAATTTTTCATGACCCCCAACATTGAGCTAAAAGGGCCCCATTTGGGGTCGGGACCCCCAATTTAAGAAGCAGTGATGCAGACAATTAGCAGAGATGCAGCTTCTAAAAAGAGACCCCAGTAATTGTTGGGTCTATTCTAGGAAAAGACTCCTCCAAAGTGCTTGAGGACTTGTAGTGAAAGAGATGTCTCCCTTCAGTCTATTTAGACTAATCTTTAAAGGTAAACCACAATTCTTAAATCAGGGCTAGAGTTAAACTGACACCTAGTGCTGGTTTCAAAAGTAAGTGGTCTGTAGGCATATTGCTTGCACTACTTTGAAAAGTAGGCTCACGCACGATGCATAGCAATAATTTAAGTTATCAAGGCATGTAATGGTCAAATTCCTATCTTCCAACAATGACCACAATTGTTTTAGCCAAAGTTGATTGATGGAAAGCACTCTGGGTTGAACTTGCACATTGGGAATCTGAGAGCATCATCAGATCCAGCAATACCGCTGTACTATATATCTGACGAAATACTGATTGTGTTTGATTGACACTGATTGTAAGTGTATTTGCCATGAAAGAGTCCACTGTGGGTTGTGTCCAGTATTCAAAGTTTACACTGCCTAATTTGAGTTTGAATAACTCTAGGAAGCACCATCATACTCCAAGTCAGACCAGTAATAATCTGAATGTTTCATTTCATCAGATGTTATTTTATTCTTGAATTGAAAGGCCAGCATTTAAAAGAGATACACTTTCTTGTAAATTCTGGGATTACTTTAGGCTTTTCTTCCAAGTAATTCATTTGTAGTTCTTTTTTTTTCTTCTTCTCTGTGAAATTTGGCAAAGAGATGGTGGTTGTATATGTAGCTGGTTTTCATTTTTTCACTTAAGGCTACCAGAAGTTTAGCTGTCCAAAATTATTCTGGAAGATTCCTTTCTATTATGAGTATTTAGGTTCCTCTCAACAATGGAGAATATTACACTTAGAACTGTCATATGTGGCCAATCACCTTGTTCTGTTGGTTTGCTTCATATATTTTTGGATCACTCCCCTACTCAGTGAATGCTTGAGATCATTGCAATAAAACCATGAAAAACTAAAATACAACAATAAAATATGAAGATGGTTTTTTTAAAAAACAAAGCTAATAAAATATATGCATTACAGCAAAACAAGAAACTGCTGTAATTAATCACTAAAGTTTAGCAGCAAGAATAGGGTTTTTCTATATGTTTTGAGTTCAATAATTGGGTTTAATTTTGTTGGTCCTGGATCAGTTAGGAATATAGTGTGCTATGAGTAAGTAACTGTAATAGCCATTAGAAATAATAATAATAATAATAATAATAATAATAATAATAATAATTATTATTATTATTATTATTATTATTATTATTATTGTTGTTGTTGTTGTTGTTGTCATGTGCATTCCACCTTTCCCCTGATAGTGGGGGTCAATACCCCTAGCAACATAATAAAAAAACAACTGAAAAACAATATAAAAATCAGAATAAAAGGTATAAAAGTACAATTAAAAACAATTACAAATCAGTTTGTAAATTAAAACATTAAACATTAAAAAATAAGAATGTGTTTAAAAGCCTTTAAATATCATCAAACACAGCACGAATAGCCCAGCCTTCATCACATTTTAAATTAAACATGCTAATTACACATTTTGACAATTGAATTTTTAAGTGGCCATCTCTAGAATTCTGTTGCATCTTTTAGTCCTACTTAATCACTCCAGTGGTATTTCTGTTATGAAACTTTGGGGAACAATTGTAAAATTACTAGTCTTCAAGAGTAGAAAATGGTGGAAATGGAAAAAATGAACATATTCATATTGGAGTTCTCTCTCTCTTAAATGAAAAGCTTTATTTATTTGCATTTCCAAATGTGCTTCTTTCTCATTTTCTAGGGAACTAGAGAGCTTAATACCCCTGTTGCTTCCTGCTTGTGCTGTGACAACAATTCATCTTTGTATTTACCAGTTGAGCTCAACCCTGCATCTCATCCCACCCTATCCTGTTGATTTCCATTTGGCCACTTGGTAAGCTTATATTTGCTCTATATATTATTTTAAGGTAGAGTCCTCATGGGTTTGGCATCCCAACAATCATAATGTTGTCCATTGAAATCAATATCCTTCTTGCCCATCTAAAATTGCTCAATCACTTCTCCGTTCTCATAGTAGGAAAAGGGTGGGTGTACTGAATTAGCATTGAAGTTGAGCCTCTGCATAAATTTTTATACAAATAAAGTATGGAGTAAAATGTGTGACAGAATTAAATCCATCAGATCTAATAAAAGAAATAGAAGAAGGCAAAGAAAGCTTGGACCTTAAATCCCATTAATCAGGCCGGAGAGAAAATGTGTTAAAAGGAAGCTGCACTATATCTTTTTGCATTGTCTGTTGGAATAATCTTTTTCACCCTTTAAGTGGAGTGTTTAAAAATCCTGGTATTTCTGAAACAAAAAGAAAACACAGCCACTGAGCTAGCTGGTTTTTATACCTTCCTTTTCTGAGTATTGTCCTTCAGTACAATACAGAGCCATTTCTTTGTTCTCAGAAGCAAGCAGTTAAATTGTATGTAAATGTATGCAAATTAGATGCTGTCTAATAAAGAGAGTCATTAGATGGAAAAAATATTTAGTTTGGCAAAAGAAGAGAAAAGAGGGGAAAAGAAAGCAGGTGTATTTTGGAAGAGATAAATGTACGATTGCTAAAAGCCCTCTAACTTCGGATGAGGATTTCTAAAAAAGGTTATTTAAATTTCTTGTAGGAGGTTTATTCCTTTGTTCTTCCATTTTCTGTCTCTGTGTAAAATTATATGCACATAGTTGTGATATAAATGTGGCATTTATGTAAAATGCAGTATAGGCTTTGGCAGGCTATGCCCCGATTCCATGTGTCCACATGTATAGATAAACTTACACTCAATAGTGCCTGTATACAAGAAACTGTGTATGCTATGTCCATTTATCTGGAGGCAATAACCTCTGGGAGAAATCACACAATATTTCTATTAATATATGTTAAAGTGTCTTAGATTATTTTGCATCTATTTTTCCCATTAAATTATCTGATTAGAATCAGAAGTCTGATGTTCTGTCATTTGTTGAAAGTGTACAGAGCAGTAGCTGAAATTTGGGTTACCAGAACCAACACCGATTTGTCTTTTGGCACGGCAGTTGGCCCTGAAATGAAAGCAGCAGCAGCTACTGGTACGTCAGTGAAAAGAGACAGGCATCAGCTTCTTGGATGTGATTGTAAGTCTTGTCGTGCAAGTCCAATTTTCTATCAACACATTCTTATTCTAGCTAGGAGTTGAAGCAAAAACATTTCTTCTTTGTTATGGGCAAGCATTGGAGCATGATTCCACACCTGGGTTGCTCAGGATGTCATGGTACTTATTTTAACATCCCCCAGAACTACAAAATAGGGGAGAGTTGATCTGCAGGTTTCATATCCTGCACTTCTAGATCTGCCACAAATGGTATAGAACTGTATGTAGCGCAGTAGAAGAACACTTGTTTTACATGTAGCACATCCCAGGTTCAATGTCTGGTATTTCTAGATAAAGGATCTGATAACAGGTTACTCGGAGTTTAAGATTCTGGTGCTACTTGCAAAAATAAAAGACACTTCTGAGCTAGGAGAACATATTTGGATATGGTGTAAGCTTCCTGCTATAATTTAATTCTATTTTTTATCTTGATTTTAAGGTACTGAAATGACCTCCTTATTGGGCGTATTACTAATAGCACCAAAGTCCCCCTTCCCCCTTTTGGCTACCAATCATTAGACTAAATACAGAAAAATATTGGGTTCTAATTTCCTTTTCGTTCCAAAATGTTTTAGGACAACAGACATTTAATTCCATCCTATTTGACATAACAAATCCTTGTGGAGCTAACTCTTAAAATATCATTTTCCATCTGATTCTTTCTGCTCATAACAACAACAACAACAACAACAGGAATACTAATACTAATAATAAATGTTATTTGTATTCTGCCCTATCTCCCCGAGGGGACTCAGGGTGGATCATCCTCCCAAATGGTTTTACGTATTCCAACCTTTGTATTATTTCAGCATAAAACAGATTATACTTTCAACAGAGGTACCTTTTTTGTCTGTGTATGTTGAAGTTATTTTTTTAATGTTTTCAATCAGACGTTCAAGTTTTCTGTTAGCTGTTAACTTGTTGCTATGGCAGTACTATTGCAATGTATGCACGTAGACATATATGTGTTTAAAATACATGTATATTAAAATAGTGTTTTAAAAATATTTACATATATAGCTCCGGAATTGGCATAATTCCCAGAATTACTGGAACTACCTTCCACAGGAACATTTGGACTTGAATAATCTTTCTAGCAGCACTCTCTCACCCACCGCCAAGCAACATAACAGTTTGTAGAACTGGCGCTTCAATCAATACTTGACTTCTTTTCTCACAGTGCTGGGGTTCTTTGGAACAGTTTTACATTTTGTTTAATTACTTTAAGACACCATCTTTGCTAATGATTTTTCCTCTAGATTATTCAAATATGGAGAAAAAAAAATAAAAGATATACTGGCAACAGTTGAACCAATCCAAGCAAATTTTGAGGTGTCTAATGGATAATGAAACTTCATTCAGGTCTGAAATTTAGGATAGGGGGCATCTGCCAGAAAATTGCATGTCAAGGTATTGTTTTGTTTTTCATAAAAGCAGAAATCTGAAAGTAGGTTGATCTATGACATTCGGGCTCCTAGGCTAAATTTACTTTTACACTAAAAGCTGCTTTTGGTGTTATACTTCTGAAAAGGGTATACTTCTGAAATGATATCATTTGATCCTATGGCTTAATGTAATCTAAATGATAGCATCTCTTGTCACTTTGGCCAGAAGGGCTAATGGGTTCTGTGTTGTACCCTCATTTCTATTGAGATAACTCATGTGGTTAGAATCTTCACAACTTGCTCCTGTAGTTGGACATCTTCTTCCTACAAGTTGTATCTGCTTTCTATCTAAATAGAGACATTGTTCTTGCAGCATTCCTAAAGAATCCTACTACTAATCAGGAATGAAATGAGTTTGTTTTTTTATGTTGATCATTTGTGCTCGCTCAGGAAGATAAATGATCTGCTAAGAAAGATTTCCTGACTTACCACAATGTCTCTCCAAATGGGTTGCAGCAACCATTTGTCTGACCTATGAATTTGCAAGCAAATGGCCTCCTGCCCAAATGAGAAGTCACTCAATTTAGACAATGGCAGCATTGGCTCCTTTCTTGAGAGGGATTCCTCTCAATGACATCTGTACAGCTGCTACCTGGTCACAGTCTCTGATGTTTGTGTTTCACTATGGAATGGACATCAGGCCTCAGGCAGAGGCTTTAGTTGAACAGACTATACTCTTATTTTTGTAGCATGACATTCCCTACTTAGATGGTTAGCAGCTTGTTAGTCTCCCATGTTTGCGAGTCACAGAGGTCACAAAGAAAATGACAGGTTGCTTACTTGTAACTATAATTATTCAAGTGGTCATCTGTGAACCTTCACAACCCTATCCAGGCTCCTCTTGTCAACTTCTGCCCAGGGAACTGAAGGTTTAAATGAGAAGCATGCTGGCCAAATGCTTATGTAAGAGTTCTAGAATGATCCAAATGATTGTGCAGACACAATAAAAACATTTGTGTAAGTTTGAGGTAAGCAACTTGTCCATTCCAGAGTAATAGAAAGCATATGTCTATTTTGGGTAGGCAGTGCTTTTTCCACTTATGCTATGTACCCCTGCGAAATTGGTAAAAGCTAGGGTCATATTAATGATGTTGTGACAGGGCCAGTATTAACAATATTTGAGATTTTATTTACTTGCAGAACTAGTCTTCTGACAATTTGTATTAAATTTTCATTCCAAAATTCACCATTTCTTAGGTGACTGCCAATTTATTGACACTATTTCCAGTATGGGTAAATCAAGAGTATTGGAAGTCTTGCTGTCTAAAATAGCTTTTGAAGAATGAACAATTCTACACAAAACTAAGCCTGGTGCTAGCAAATTGGCTGCATGACTAGCAGTGTTTGATATTACCAAGTTATTGTTGTTGTTGCTGTTATTTCTTTTTAATTATGCAAAGTGCTAATCAGTTTGATTATGCACAGTGCTAATCAGGTTAATTATGCAGAGTGCTAATCAGTTGTTCTCCAAGCACATGGGGAGTGCAGAGGTGCTGATGGTGAATAGTACTGCTACATGGGGGTAGTCACGGCAGTCGTTTTCTATTAAGAAAGAAGAGTAAGTGAGATGGTGCAGAGAATTTTACCTCTTAAAATTAGAAAAAAGAAAAGAAGGGACATAGATTCCACTGGGTGATACATTCTGTTTAAAATAATGTTGTATTTTCAGGTTGTGTTTAATTTTGTTGAAGGGATTTAATTAGGATTTGCCCTTAATAAAGACAAAGAAAATAGATATATGCAAGCAGTATTGTATCATTTTTCCAAAAGTTATTGGCAGTGATGAATTCTTAAGCTCACTGTTTTCAGTAGGCCTAAGGCCATTTGTCTATATAGTTTGTGACCACTAATTTTCTGACTGATTGATACCTAGTTAAGGTTTTGAAACAAGTAGGACAGCCTTCCTTAGAATAATACCTGTGATTGGTTTCATAACCGTTTTAGGTGTCTTTTAGAGAGATAGAGAGATAAAGCCAGAAAGATAGAAGAAATACTACTACTAGTAGTAGTAGTAGTAACAACAACAACAACAACAACAACAAAGTCAACAGACTTTAGTTGCCCAGAAAATCAGGAGGCAGAGGGCTTTTGTGAAAAGTGAAACAAATGGTGGAAGAAGAGAAGCATGCACTGGCAGATTATGTGAAAGGCAGTCAAGAACCAACGTTGAGGGAAGTCAATAGTGGTAAACTGCTTAAAGTACAAAAGACAAAGAGTGAATACTGTAAAAACACAATCCAGAGCAGAAGAGAAAACTGGAAAAAGAAGACGCTCCATGGACAATTCCTAGGAAAAAATTGAGAGCCAAATTGAAAAGA